AACATCAGTTTATACTCGAAAACATTTATGAGAAGACATTGAAAAAACGATAAACAAATTCTACGAGATATGCGAACATAAAATCATCAATTGTCAATAATAAAGGATTAATAATATGATAATATTTATTTTATTATATTAATATAACAAAAGCTAATTTGAGAATTTTTTTTCAGCACAATACTGAGGCATCAACTTTATATCGGGGACGAGGGACAACTTAACCTACGAGGAGTTAAGCCGGGTTTATGTCCTAGCTCTGTGAAAATAGATTAATATTTTAATATTTATTAGTATTTAGTATTGGTATTTAGTATTATTTAGTATATTTAGTATTTTTTATCTAATTCGTAATTTATAAATTAATTTATGAAGAGTATACCTCTTGGTCAATTTAATGTTTCCACTTCCTTTTTGTACTTTTCTTTTATTTATTTATTATATATGCGCATTTATTATATATGCGCATTTATTGTATATGCGCACATATGTGTTTAATATCATTATATTTAATATTCTAGCAAACAGTATTTATTATCTATCGTGGCTTAATGGATCAAGCAATCCAAAGCCAATAAAAAAACTTTTTATCGCGTCATTTGCATAGTAGAAAATACTACGCTAGGAAAGAAACTGCTCCAGAATAAATACTTACTTGGGAATAGCAGAAGCATCGAAAGCTGGAAAATACTTCGGTCTCTTCGACAAGATAAATTTAAAGACATCATCTCACCGATTAGCCTAGATAAATGGGACAAATACTTCGCAAATCTACTGGCGGAAGAAAGAGCAGAATATTTGCACACACCCAAACATAATAAGAAGTGCAAGTACATACAATAGCTTCCCCAATTAGGATTGACGACAAAAAAGTAGCGTGAGTATGCCAAGCAATAAGAATAGAAAATCAAAAGGGTCTGGCAATATTTCACCTGAGCTACTTAAGTACGGTACAAGCAAATTATATAAGCAGCTAACCAGCCTTTACCAAGAATGTATTAAAGGATTGAGTATACCGGAGGAGTGGAGCACATCTTTTGTCATGACAGAATAGAATAGAATAGAATTTATTTAATCAATATACAAAAATAGTTTTGTTTTTGACAAGTCAAAGGAATAGTGACAATACTTATACAACATATAATTTTTTTTTAATTAACATTAAACATAATTTAAACATTGCAAACATGTATGTATTTAATATTAACAGTTAAAAAAAATGACAAACACACTTTATGGAATTATAAAAAAACATGAAATATAATTATAATAGGCAACTGCCCTGACCAAACTAGTACTATTGTGTAAAAGCTGTACTTAAGTACTCCGTTTTTGAATAGAAACAATGTTTCAAAAAGTGTGATTTGATTTTATGCTTAAATGATAACAAGTGAAGACTTTTTACTTCATCTGGCAAAAAGTTATACAAACTAACGTCAGTCGAATTTTTTACGCTCTTTGTCAACCTAAAACGTTGTGCTCTAATAGCATCTCTAGATCTTGTATCGTGATCATGGACGTTGGAGTTTACGTTAAACTTAGCCTTTGTTGGCATGAATTTCAATCAGCGTCTTATATATATATATATATATATATATATATATATATATATATATATATATATAGTGAAGGTAGTGGCATAATACCTAAATCCAGAAAGAAAGGTTTACAGTGTTCCCTATACTCAGCTCTTGCAAGTATCCTCACTACTCTTTTTTGTAATTTAAAAATTCGATCTGCGTAAGAAGAATTACCCCAAACAGTTATTCCGTACTGTAAATGGCTATGAAATAGTGCAAAGTAGCACATTCTAAGGGTATTTTTAGGAATCATATAAACTAAGTTGCGTATTAAAAATATACTTGTAGCAAGTCTAAAACTTAAGTAATCTATATGAGCACTCCAATCCAAATTATCGTCTATAAAGATTCCTAATAGTTTAACACTATTTCTTAAGATATACTTCCAATCAGAACTAAAAATCAAATTCTGATTTTTCTCTTCATTTAGCATTAGCCCATTATGTGAGAACCAGTTTTTTGCTTTCTTGGTATCACTATCTATTTTAATTTTTAAATTATTCTGATTAATATCAGTATTTATGAGAGTTGTATCATCTGCGAAGCAAACACATTTTATAGGAAAAGTGTAGTGAAATAAATCGTTCAGATAAATAAGAAACAAAGTGGGTCCTAATATCGAACCTTGAGGTACACCATATTCGACAGTGTTAAACTCAGAATAGCTGTTATTAAGAAAAACTGCCTGTTTTCTATTTGTTAGGTATGATCTAAATAGATTAAGAGTGTTTCCCCTAATACCGTACTTATGCATTTTTTCCAACAGTAATTCATGCGAAACACAGTCAAAAGCTTTGGATAAGTCACACAATGTCAAAGACACAAAATGACCTTCCTCCAAGCCATCAACTATATCTCTCACAATTTTCTGTATAGCTAGTGTAGTGCTACACTTTTTTCTAAAGCCATATTGGTTACAGTGAAGTATTTTGTGTTTTTCTAGATATTCTACCAAACGAACATTTAGAATACTCTCAAAAATTTTGCCGAAAATGGGAATGATTGAGATGGGACGGTAATTTCCAATTTCATCTAAAGCTCCCTTTTTGAACACTGGTAGCACTTTTGTTACTTTTAAAACATCTGGGAAAATCCCCTCAGTAAGACAATTATTATAAAGTATAATTAATTTGTCAATAATAATATCGATTGTTTCCACAATTATTTTTTTGTTTAAGAAATAAAAATCCGTGCAGTGTGAATTTTTCAATCTATGCAAAACATTCCTGATTTCAGTATCACTAACAGGTAATAAAAATAAAGAGTTGCAAGGAGAGTGTACATCTTTCAAAAAATCTATGGCTACATTTTCATTTGTAGAATTAAAAGAACTTCTAATATGTTTAGCCACTGAAGTAAAGTAATTATTGAAATCGTTTGATGTAATCGCGCTTGGACAGACTTTTTTATTTTGAAATTTATTTCTGTGATAATTTATAACTTTCCAACTATCACGAGATATATTTTCAGAATTGGAAAAAAAATTTTCATAAGCCAGTTTTTTCTTTAATGATATTGTTGATTTATAGTGCTTCTTAAATTTTTTATACTCACTATATTCCTTTGTAACATCAGCAATTATCTTGACTGTGGAAAGATTTTTTCGCATTTCTATTAATTCATCATCAAACCAAGAAATTGGAGCTTTACTATGAGTTCGTGATTTTTTTAATGGAAAATTAATTTCAGTTAACTTAACATACATTTCGGTAATAAATTGAGCTAATTCTGTTGCTGTTTTGAGAGAAACAACTGAAGCCCAGTCAACGTTGTTTAACGACTGTTTTAACATCCGGATGCCATTACTTGTTATATGTCTTCTGTATGGATTAGCACTATGTTTTTTTTCAGATTTTATTTTTAAGTAGAGAAATTGTGCATGATGATCAGAAATACACGGGTCCACAATTCCACAACCAACTATCTCACTGCTTATGTTTGTTAAGATGTTATCTAAACAAGTTGCTGATCTAGTTGTGATTCTAGTAAATTCATTAATATTTATGGTTAATCCAAAAGTAGAAATTAGATCACGGAAACTGTTTAATTCATTAGAAGCTTTTTTAAAATCAATGTTGAAATCTCCAATTATTATTATTTCTAAAAAATTAGCAGAGCAAAACTCCAATAACTTTTCAAATAGCTCTAGAAAAACTTTAAAATTCCCATTTCCGGTTCTATACACTGTTACTAAAATAGTTTTAATATCTATAATTTCTAATGCACAAAATTCACCCTCAAATTCACATGATATATCATTTAAGCAAATTGGTCGTGTAGGGATTTTATTATCGCTAAAAATTACAACACCTCCATGTTCCCTTACCTTCCGACAATAAAAAGTTGATAAAAAATACCCATCAAGCTTTAATGTTGTTAATTCATTTTCTCTGAGCCAGTGTTCAGAGAAACATAATATATTGTATCTTTTATTTTTCAAAAAATATTAAGCTGATCTATTTTGTTTAATAAACTTTGTGTGTTTACATGTAAAATATTAACTAGACTAATCTGGTCAGAGTTTGCTAAAGTTTTTGGTTTAATATAAGATACAACACTTTCACTTCTGTCTTTTTCGGTTGATGTATCTAGAAGATTTATCGCCGGAATGTTTTCTGCGAAAAAAATATTCACTCACCATTACATAAGTATATATACGTATATACTATATATATACGTATATAC